CCCCTCAGATCAGAAATTTCTGAGACTTTCCTACTTTAAAAAAAACCCAAAGTTGAATAATTTCATTATAAACTGTTTTTGTGCAGATATGACAAAACTAATCTAAGCTTATCTGTATGATGCAGCTGCGTGTGTGTTTAAAAGGAAAGTTCCTCTGTGGATCTGTGTTAAAATTGTGGTTTCAGCAAAATTCCTCTTCTTGTTCTGTAGCCATGTTTAAGAGAACAGTTTCCAATGCACACCTTGCAGACTGCTGGTTTGCACAGCAAGACTTCTTCTGTTAGATTTATAAAACTTTTTTCTTGTGACACATTAACAATGCTTTCCAGATGTGCAGAGAAGCTCAACTCAAAAGAAAGAAAGAAAGAAAGAAAGAAAGAAAGAAAGAAAGAAAGAAAGAACGAAAGAAAGAAAGAAAGAAAGAAAGAAAGAAAGAAAGAAAGAAAGAAAATGTTACATTTTGATGCCATGAGATTTGTTGCAGTTCCCCAGGAGGCAATTTGGCGACATTTTTGGCTTTTAAAGTGCAGTTTATAAATCACAAATCGGTAAAAGTATACAAAGTACAGCTTTAAATATACAAAATAGTATGTTTGGGGGAAGTAAAAATGCACTTTTCCTCTTGGAAGTGTGTGTCTGAAAGTGTGAGCACCCTCTAGTGGCACGGTGGTGAAGTATCATTCAGAGTTAATCTTTAATTCCAACCCTCAGGAGGGGTAGCTTCTCCAGCAGCTTATTAAACCACTTAGCATGATCCAATTTAGTGGATAAACATTGTTATGTGTGCTTCTAATGTAGATTGTGTTTATCTATTTATAAATCCGGACTAATGTGATTATACCAGGTATCATATAAGAGTGATTATTGCGGTTTAATAGGATGATATTAAAATAACACTAACCACTTTATTGTCGTCACCTTCGGTTGATCCGTCATATGAGACACGTAGAGTCTTTAATGATCCACATCATTTTAATTCTTACCCAGGAAAGAACTCGCAGTTTGCTACGAGAGTGGTATCTCCAAGATCCGTATCCTAATCCGTCCAGGAAACGCCACCTGGCCCAGGCCACCGGGCTCACACCTACGCAAGTCGGGAACTGGTTCAAGAACCGCCGGCAAAGAGACAGAGCTGCCTCAGCAAAGAACAGGTATCTCAGAAATTCCACATTTTATACAAGTTATGACTCAGAAAGAGAGAGAAACCCTGTTTAGTCAAGTTAAAGAGACTAATTAGGTGAAGTGGCTGTACTTGTCTGAAGATCAGCTCCGACACTCGCACTCTTAAAAACAAGACTTCTCACTCTTCTTCTCTTTTCTGTCCCCTGATGCAGGCTGCAGCAGGATCCTTCCCTCCTGCCCTCTGAAAGCTCTCCCAACGGCTCCCTCCAGGGACACCACCATCACCCCCGCCTGCTGCCCGCCTCCCCTCGCCACCCGGGCAGCCCCGAGGCCAGCGACTGCAGCACAGAGCCCGAGCCCAGAGGAACCGGGGCCTCCACCCCGGAGATCTCCGTCAGCAGCGACAGCGAGTTTGAGTCTTGAGACGAGGGACTCTCTGTCGCAGACGGGCAGACTCTTACTACTGTCTGTGATCAGACCCAGACACACTTACAAAGACACTTGAACTTTCAGCGTGACTGCGGACACATTAGAGCTGTTCTCGGTGGGAGGAGGGCAAGATGAGACCACTTGTCGTGGATGTGAGTGGACAAAGTAAAGATATGCACTTAAAAAAAAGCACCATGGCACATGACTCTGACTGTTATGTATTAGTTTAATGTGACTCAGTGCTGTAAAAAGATAAACATCCAGTTGAGTTTCAAACTCTCAGGCGAAGTATTTGTAGAGATCATGCCTATGAGCTTTAGAAGAGATGTGAATATTAATATTTTAAGGTTGAATGCTATTTTGGTAGAGAAAAATTTCTCAGTTTTTATGGAAGGTACAAAAAGAAAAATGCCTTGTGCAGGCTGTTACTGTATGTCAGTATGTTAACACGCACATTGTTTCATTTGATTATCTTCAGATAAGAACCAAAAACAAACTGTGAAAATCCCCTAGAACTGGCAGAGACGTCCCCACACAGTGTTACAGTTTTATCACTCCTGAAAAATTACATTCAAAAAATGCACAGCTGCCAGTGGTGGCACACTTAATGATGATAAAGGCAAATTTATTAAAATTAAAAACAGCCAGTAAATGTACAAAATCTGTCTTGCTGCGCTGCAGTTTGCATGTTAACATAGGGACGTACCAACTCAACACATTTCACTGCCTTAAAATGGAACTAAGGGCATCACTGTTTTGCAATGCAATAACAAGCAACGCGTTTAGAGAGACTGAACTGTAACTCATCACCCGTGCACACATGCTGCTTAAAATACAAACCATGTCATTGTGGGCTGTTTTACCTTTTTCGCTGATCGAAATCTGCTGGAAATGCTCCTGAGCTGCTCTGATGATGACGAATTCCTGCAGGAGCCAAAGCAGAGGTGAAAGAGGAATCAGAGAGAATAAAACACACTCGTCGGTCTTAACTCAATGTGCCTATTACATCTGAGAACAGTGAGACCTAATCAGGCATGAGACTGTCCTCATGACAACGACACACGCAAAGGCCTACTGTTTGCCGTCTTTCTTAACGACCATCATTTCTCATAAAGTATCGTTTCAATGATAAATGTGTATTTTGTAATGTTTTGTGTAAATAAATGAACCTATTTTTATCCAAAGCGATGCAGTCTCTTTTTAGCTATGATCAGTATGAATACACTGTTTGTCTTTCTTTAAATCACCTTCAATATCAAAAGGCTTGAGCTTTTTTCACCAAACAAAATCAGCATGAAGCCACAGATTTACTCAAGGCTTACAAAGAATCAGATATAGCCTGTTGAATACGCCTTTAAGTATCATATTAATATAAGGTGTAAAAATTTAGAGTTTTTTAAACTACTCTGCAGTGGGTTACAGTTACAATTGCAATACCAGGACTTATGTAGTTATGTTAATAATAACTTGAAGCAATCATTTTCTGTGTGACTTATCAGTCTCTCGCATCACTGTGGAGAAATTCTAGCCCACTCATCTTTACAACACTGCATCAGTTCATTCATTTATGCACAGCTCTCTGTCTCACCACAGTATTTCAATCAGGTTGAGGTCTGGACTTTGGACCATTGCAGCCCTTTGATTCTTTTATTTTTTCAGACTATTTGTTGTAGATTTGCTTCTCTGTTTGACATCATTGTCCTGTTGCATGACACAGTTTCAGCCAAGCTTTAGCTGTTGGACAGATGACCTCACATTTGACTCTAGAATACTTTAATAAACAGAGGAATTTGACTCGGTGACTGCGACGTGTTCAGGTGCTGTGGCTGCAAAGCCTAAACCATCACCCCTCCATCACTGTGCATGAGGTGTTTGAGCTGATATGCTGTGTTTGGTTTCGATTTGTGGTGCCGTGCATCACAGCCAAACATCTGCACTTTGGTCTCATCTGATTTGTTCACATGCAATTTTGCAAACTTAACCTGTGCTGCCATGATTTTCCAAACAGCCCATTCTTATCAAAAGTTTGTCTAATTGAACATTTAAAATGCTAACTGAGACCTGCAGACTCTGAGATGTAGCTGTAGGTCGTTTTAAAATAACTGTGAGCATTGTAGTGGCTTTTTGCTGGGAAGATAAAGGCATTATGTTACACACATGTATGCTGCAGCCCAACAAAATGCCAAAACTTCTGCTTTTAGAGAGGAGCTCACAAATGCTCTTGATCAATTAGTCAAATGCAATTGATCTGCAGCACGTGGCTGATACCAGCCCTCTAAATTCCCATGAAAGCAGTGAGGGGGTACTGTGGAAATGGTCTTTTTCACATGACAGTTTATACAGCCATCTGTGATAGATAGATAGATAGATAGATAGATAGATAGATAGATAGATAGATAGATAGATAGATAGTTAGTTAGTTCTAGCTATCTCTTATAAGCTATAAGAGTTAGCTAGATAGTAGCCTATTAGCTAACTCTTATACTAACAGACACCATGCTAGCATAGGTTTCTGAAGAGAAAGGCACAATTCACAAATGTCTGCAGCTTCCATAAAAAAATATATATGTTGAAATGTTGTTTGGAGAGACTTACCTGACTTACCAGGAACAAATGCTGTCTGTCTTTCACAAAAAAGACTTGCTCCTCTGTAGATGAGGTTCTCAAACTAAACAAAGATGGCGGCCGGAAATAGACGGTTTTTTTTACCCTAAACCTATAAGAAGTTGAAAGTAGAAGCTAAGCAAGCTGCATGACGAGCAGAAAGGAGCCATGTCATTACAGGGATTACAAAACAAAGAAAAAAAGGTAAAATATTGAAACAGGTTTCTTCTGGCACTCACCCATAATTTGGATTCACGTTAAATGTTGTGAAATTGCTGAAAGTTGGGAAATTACAAATGATTTACTGTTTTTATCTTGTTATTAAAGATAACAACACAAATAGTCATTTAAACTATACCTTTTAATCATATGTTGCTCTGTAATTTCAGTTTAAAACTATGTCAGCACTGACAGAAAACATGCTGCTGCCATTCAAAAAGTTCTGCACCGTCAGGCTGTTATAGGTTAAAACTACTCAGATATTGGATGTGTAACTTTAAAAAAATGAACGAATGGTATATAGTACAACTTAATAAATATCAGACCTCCAACATATTGTATAGTATTATGCTACAAAGCAACAAAAACAAACAAACAACAAACAAACAGTTCTTTACCAACCTCGAAGTGAACATATACAGAAATGTTTCCTCAGCTGTGACTAAAGGACATTTAGAGGTAAGTGAAATGCAAAATGTGCAAAATGTCAGTCACATGTTTGTGTAAATTCCTCTTTTCTTATCTCATAACAACACAGTGTAGAATAGTTCTTCTTCCTGCCTGACCACAAAAATGGGTGTTGTCACGCTCAGTAATCCCACCCACACCAGAAGGAGCAGCAAAACAGACCTGTCACTTTTTAGCCACTGCTACACTTATGTGCAATCTTAGGGCTGCACATAACACACAATCGGCTGTGTGTCAGTGAGGTTCCTGTGCAGACGGGTGGGGGTATTTTGATTTTTGCAATATTAATTAAGAATGGACAGCCAGGGGAGGAAAGTGGTGGTCAGTGACAATGGGACAGGGGTAAGTCAAACAGTCATATTACCACATAGTCAGATATCCTGTTAACAGTGCTGGATGTTGTCTTTTATTTTTCTTTCCATTAGCATTTAGTTTTAGCGTGAAAAATATTACTAATCATGTTAACTGCATGTCTTTTTAAGATATCTTGATGCAAAGTAACCTTTTGCATCAAAATATCTTATTTGTTTTATTGTCAATCATCTGGATCATTTAATGGCAAATATGTGAAGAAGTCCTGGGTGTGAGACAAAGTGCACTGCTGTGTGATTCCACATCTGTCTGGACTTGTCACTCCTGCCTTCAGAATGCGCACACCACCATAAATGGCTGTGGTGCTTTGAAGTGAGCAGACATTGGACAAAAACCAGGAAGAGAGACTTATCAGAGGAGATAAAATCACAGAAGTGGCACTCAGTGGTTGATTTCCGGAGGAAGATGCGCATTGACAGACTTTACCTGCTGCAACCAGAAACAGTCATGTTTTTACCCCTGTTAGGAATGCATTGCATCCCTCCAGGCTAAGGAATGTGTGTCTGTGCCCACATGGACAAGTTAAGACAGTGTAGTAGGAGGAGTAGTTATAGCAGTTAGGAAAGCATGGGAAATTTGGTAAATATATATATATATATATACACACACACACACATACATTTGGAAAGCAATGTGTGTGTGCTTTCCAAATGAGTGCCAGTAAACGTGATGAAATTGCTCTCGCCACTGTCTGTTAAATAAGAAACAATTTGTTAAATGCATTACAGTAATACACTCTAGGTCAGGTCCTTGGAGGCAGATTAATCCCAGCATCAGATTAAGAGGAACAAACCTGATTTATGAATGGAATTTTACCTGCACAAAAGGCTTTTAGTGCAAGAGTACAATTAATACGTTTAACCCTAATGCAGGGCTACACAAACACAAACTGGCTCTCAGTTTCATTTTCACATCCCTGTGCAGTTTGTCAAGTGTGGTTTTGCCGGCTCCAACTTCCCAAAGCACATCTTCCCGGCCCTGGTGGGCCGGCCAATCATACGATCATCCGCCAGAGTGGGCAACATCGAGATAAAGGTAAGATTGATGTAAATGAAAGGACTACACATGGGTCTTTCAGTTAACCTAAAGTCAGAATGGAGCATTAAAAAAAGATGAAATAAAGGGAAATGGGGAAATTACATCTACTGTGTGCAGAGTTCTATTAAAAGCAAACAGCATTAAAACCAGGTGAGTCATCCTGTTACAGTTTAGTGCTCTATTGAGAAACCTGGTGTCGAAGCATTACAGCATTCCCAAGAAGGATAAGGGGCCCTGCAACACTACAAAAACTACTACTAAGAACATAATAAATAGCCAAAACATAGACTACAACCACAATGGTCCCACCCAGTAACCCACAGGACTCTCAAGGTCCACGTCTAGAAAAGTCAGAGCTTTTCTGGCAGCAATACAGGGACCTGCACTATATTACTCAGGTGGTTTTAATGTTCGAGATGGCACAGTGGTGTCTGGAGCCTCTGAATGTGGAGTGTTTGTTACCCCAGTGCCAGATTGGTGGCATATCCAGGGTGTACCCTGTGTCCCACCATGTGACAACTAAGATAGGTTCCAGCGACCTTTGACTCGATAAATGAAAGAAATTGTATGGTTTTAATGCTGCAGCTGATTGGTGTAGCCATCTATAAGATCTAGATACACATCCTGAGACTTGATCATCTGTATCTCTGGTTCTCATCAACTTCCTGTGTCTCAGCTTAAAGCGTCTTAGAAGTGCACACCTGCTAGCTTCCTAAGATGCTGAGACTGTTGAGTTCATAGACTCGTGTAACCTGAGATCATTCAGACCTTTTAACCTGATAATCCCTGCAGGATCGGAGCAGAGAAAGCATGAAAAGGTCATTGGTACAAATAAATAAGTAAACAAATTAAGGCAAGCTGTTGTGTAATAAACATCACATTTTCATAGATTTTTTATTTAGTGTTCACTTGAAACACCAGGTTTCCCAGGATAGCTGTCTTATATTTGTACTTGTGTATGGATGTGCATGTTTGTAACTTAATATTTTATACAGTATATTTAAAACGTTTCAACAGAAACAACAAAAATCAAACTGATGCTTTTTTATTATTATTTATTAAACCTATACTTTGTTGTAGGTCAGACAAAGAAGAGCAAAAACAAAACCATTAATATTTCCTGTCCCTGTCATCTTTTCCACCAGGACCTAATGGTGGGAGAAGAGGCCAGCGAGTGTCGCTCCATGCTAGAGATGTCCTACCCCATGGAGAATGGCATGGTGCGCTGCTGGGAGGACATGCTCCACCTGTGGGACTACACCTTTGGCTCAGAATGCCTGGACATCAACCCAAAAGAATGCAAGGTATGAACCCGTGTAAGACAGACAAAGACGGAAATGAATGGAAAAAAAAACTGTACAAGGACTAGATTATTATTGAGTTTGTGTATGTTTTCTATCCAAGATCCTACTGACTGAGCCGCCCATGAACCCAACCAAAAACCGCGAGAAAATCGCTGAAATCATGTTTGAGAAGTACCAGTTCTACGGCATCTACGTGGCCATCCAGGCCGTGCTCACTCTGTACGCTCAGGGTGAGAGGGCGCGACACGCTGCACAAAAATAAAGGGTTTAAATCCTGACCTGCTGTTAACGGTGCAATTGACTGGATATTTGGTCAGTTTTAACTCCCGCTTTGTTAAATGACTCTGTCCACAGGTTTGCTTACCGGTGTTGTAGTTGACTCAGGAGACGGCGTCACCCACATCTGTCCAGTGTACGAGGGCTTCTCTTTGCCCCACCTTACACGCAGGCTGGACATCGCAGGACGTGATGTCACACGCTACCTCATTAAGGTGAGCTGGAAAGATCAGTGATCGGGCAAAGAGTTGGGTTTTTTTTAGTGTAAGGAAAGTATATGTACAATTTCACAGCAAACATATGTGTGAAAAAAATGTTCTTCCCATCAGCTCCTGCTACTTCGCGGCTACGCCTTCAACCACACTGCTGACTTTGAGACCGTGCGCATGCTGAAGGAGAAGCTCTGCTATGTGGCATACAACATTGAGCAAGAGCAGCATTTGGCCACAGAGACCACTTACCTGGTGGAGACATTCACAGTACGTTGGAGCAAGCTTTAATTTATTCTGCCTCCTAAAGTCGAGAAATGGCAGAAAAAATAACCGATTCCTCTCATTTGTGCAGCTTCCTGATGGCAGGCAGGTGAAGGTGGGCGGAGAACGATTCGGGGCTCCTGAAGCTCTTTTCCAGCCTCATCTCATCAACGTGGAGGGAGCTGGAGTAGCCGAGCTGCTGTTTAACACCATCCAGGCTGCAGACATTGACCTCAGGTCCAATCCTCCTCCCTCACTTTTCTCTAATTAATGAAGCTGAACTACTGCAAACACGCCTTGATCAGGTCCGTCTCTCGTCTGCTTTCCCATCCAGGGCCGACTTCTATAAGCACATTGTTCTGTCCGGGGGGACCACCATGTACCCGGGCCTCCCATCCAGGCTCGAGAGGGAGATCAAGCAGCTCTACCTGGAAAGAGTGCTCAAGGGAGACACTGAGAAACTATCAGTAAGAGCTTTCATATTAATGTCAGTAGAGAATGGATTCGATTAAGAGCCTGTAAGGCGTTCTTCAGTGCATTTGCATAAATATAATGTTACTGATGATCAGTGTCATCTGTATCATGAGCTGACGAAATGTTTATAGAATACATTTTCCAGTTATTTAATAAATGTCACCAGGCATTCATATAGATGCTCTGTTTTATTCACTGAACCTGAGGGCTACTTGCATGCAGGTTTTTCCACAGCAGGTCCAGTTTGGCTGTGATATTAACTCTCTGAATTTAAATATCTTTATGAGTTAAAAGTTTAGAAAAAGCTCAGTTTGAATTCCACATTTGACGCTCTGCAACATTTAAGGTTATGTTATCTCTTTTTCTTTGTATTAAAAATAAGTTTGGGCTATTTTATTACAAATACCAAAATGCATTTACTTTTTGTTGTTTTAAAGCCAAACCAATAAAGTGTGACATTTGTCATATTAATTAAATACATATCTAGAAATTGAAAGTTTATTTTGTTAACCTCATTACTGAGGTCGTTTCTCTTTTAGCAGTTTTCTTCGTAGCAGCACAGAATATAAAAAAAGGCTTAAAGGAAAGAATTGTTGTACTTATATATCAGGGCTCTGTGTTTTAATGACCTCTCCTGACTTTTCTCTTCACCCTTGCAGAAGTTCAAGATCCGAATCGAGGACCCTCCCAGGAGAAAACACATGGTGTTCATGGGCGGTGCTGTGCTGGCTAACATCATGAAAGACAAAGAATCCTTCTGGATGACTAGACAAGAATACCAGGAGAAAGGCCTGGGAGTGCTGCAGAAGCTGGGAGGTGGAGTCAGATAAAATAAAACTGAGTTAAACAGAATTTTAAAAACACAAATTAAAAATGAGGAAAATATGAACTAGGTTTTGTACTTTTAAATATTAACTCCGTACCTCTCACAGTCTCATCTCTATTCAAAACAGTTTTAACTGAGCAAAATTACAAGTTTTATCATTAAAAACACAATTTAGGTTTTTTCAGCTTCTACATACTATTCTAAATATAACAGTTTTTTGGACGGTGTAGGTGCTCGCTTATCCAGGTCATGTTCTTTGGACCGTTTGATGAAACTTTGATGACTAAAGTTAAAAAATTTCAGGAATTTATTTGTTGCATTAATAGCAAGTTTATGTTTTATTTAACCTTTTTAAAACTAATAGATCTGTGCTTCAGTACTGTGCAAAAGTTTTGAGTCACCCTTCATTTTTTTATATGTTACTGAAAAAATGGAAATAGATCCAGCAATGTATTGAAACATGTGCAAATGTATATACAAACTCAGAAAAGGAGGCCAAAACAAAGTATTAAAGTTCTATAAGGCTTGAAAGTCAACATTTGGTGTGACCACCTTTATTCTTCAGCACAGTCTGAACATGCCAGTCACATGCCTCCCTGAAAGGAAGTCTTTGAAAAACCTTTAGAAAGTCTGGAGGACTATTGTTGAAGACCATTTTAAAAAATACAGAAAAAAACTTAACATTTTATCTTAACTGAGACCTAATTTATTCTTGTGCAATACTCACAAGGCTATTATAACACAAAAACATGAATATTTGGATAAAAATGACGTAAATGTAAAGCCGAAATTAAATGATTTTGTTAAACTCTATTACTAATTCATTTTGGGACTCCACATTATGCCAACCAAACAGTAACCTGTTTGCTACTGTTTCTTAGAAATATTTGTCAGTAAAGTTTACTCGCTAAACTTGATTTAATCAAAAATAGATTACAGTCAAAGATCTTCCTCAAACACAAAACTTGCCTAGTTTTTACTTTGGCTAGCTTGGCATCTAATCACAGGGATCCTCTTTTCTTTACTCTGTTTATATGGTTGGTGGTGTTAGCTTATTGTTATTATCAAAAGTTTAACTTTTATTATTGGCTCATATAAACTATTAGTTTAGGTCTTTTGTGCTTTTTTCCCTGCACTTTAATCTTAGTTTTGGTTGATGTACATTATTATTATTATTATTAGTGGCAGCCTCCCGAGGGTTCCTGGTTGTTCCTCCCTTTGTGTTTCCTTACTCCTGACTTGTTCAGTGTGTATGCGGGTCTGTGTAGGTCTCTGGGGTTATTTTTATCTGTTTAACTGTGAATGTTAGTATAGCTTCCAGTCTGCCCTCCCCAAAGCCCCGACTGTGACTGATTGTGTGTTACTCTCACCTGCATCTCGTTCCTCACCTGTTTGTCACTTCTCAGTGTATTTATAGTTTGGCCTTTGTTATAACACCTGTGTTTCCGCCCTTTGGTGCTGCTCATTTTGCCTCGGTCCCAGTTTGATTCCTGATTTGTTGCTCCTCCCGTTCTGAGAGATTCTTATTATTATCTGTAAAAATAAATGTTCAATGGACTGGCAAATACAGGCTGAACATTTGAATGTTCTGAGTGGAAAAAAAACCCTGTAAAGAATTTATCTGTGGGTTTGTTTGTTTTTGTTTTTTAATAAATGTCAAACAGAATTGTTTTTTATTGTACATATTCCTTGCTGTAAGCAATGAAAAATGATGCAAAATGTGACCTGTTACTTCTCTCATATATATAATATTGGGTACATACACTGTCTTAACTGGGTACACCAGTTCAGCTGCTCATTGCTGCAAGTAACTAATCAGCCAATCAAATAGCAGCAAGCTAATGCATTCAGCTATATAGACATGATGAAGACAACCTGCAAAACTTCAAACTGAGCATCAGAATGAGGAAGAAATGTGACTTAAGTGGCTTTGAATGTGTCATGGTTGTTGGTCTGAGTATTTCAGAAACTGGTGATTTATTAGGATTTTCCCACAAAAACATCTCTGTGGTTTAAAGAGTACAGTCTGAAAAAAAAAGGAAAATATCCGGTGCGCAGCAGATCTCTGCGTAAAAATGTCTTGTTCAGGCCTGAAGTCAGAGAGGAATAGGCCAGATTGCTTAGTAAGTAAGTAAGTAAGGTATGCAGAAGCGCATCTCTGAATCCACAACACACTGGCCTTGGAAGCAGATGTGCTACATCAGCAGAAGGCCACACCGGGTGCCACTCCTGTCTGCTAAGAACACAAAACTGAGGCTACAATTCAAACTGGACAGCAGATGATGAGAAATGTGTTACCTAGTCTGATGTGTATCAAGCTCTGCTCTGACTTTTGGAAAGGAGGGTCAGAATTTGGAACAAACGTGGATTCATTAATGTTTCAGGCTCGAGGTGCATTAATGTGGGGGAACATTTTGTTGGCACACTTTGGGCTCCTTAGTACAAACTAAGCATCATTTAAACCCCACAGCCTGATGTTGACCATGTCCATCCCTTTATGGCCACAGTGCAGCATCTCCTTATTGCTGCTACACACCATGTCCCAAAGCTCAGATGAAACCGGTTTCTTGAACATGACAATGGGTCCACTGAACTCAAATGACCTCCACAGCCACGAGATCTCAGGCCGACAGAGCACTTTTGGGATGTGGATGAAGAGGAGATTCTCATCATGGATGAGCACCAACTGTGTGATGCTGTCATGTCAACATGGACCGACATTCCCGAGGAATCTGTGCCATGAAGTATTAAAGCAGCTCTGAAGGAAAACAGGGCTCCAACCTGGTACTAGTGACCAATGAGTGCAGATGTTAGTGCCTTTCATTTAAAAAATATAATTTAATCTTTTTTTCCATGAGACCTTTTAAATAACATGATAATAAATCCAAAAGCAGGACTTGGCTTAATGGGTTAATTAATGGATTAATACATGAATTACTAAATAGTCAATGATAAGTCTCAACACTCAAAGTCAGTAAGAAATTAATGTGAAGGTGTGAAATGACAGTGTTAGTATTTGCTGCCATCTGGTGGTTAAATCTGCACCCGTCAACACTCCCAACCCCACTCCAGCACTTCACTCACCGTAACCACACGGCGAACGGATATTGCAATTTTTTTTATTGCGATACTGAGTTACCTGACAAAATACAGTCATGTGTTTTTACACTGAAAAGAAATAGTGAGCTCTCACAATGAACACATGCTTCACGCACACATACACGCACACGTACACGCACACATACGCGCACGCCACATTCGCAGAACCTTCGCGTTAAAATGAAAAAAGCATGCAATAATGTTCAAAACACATCTCAAAACTGAACCTCCTCCCCTCCCCCGACTCGGCTGATCCAAAAACTCCAGAAATGTTGGAATGTCCACATGTTTAGGTTCGATATCTACCCAACAAATTCAACTATTCAAAGTTTTAAATACACACAATAATGATCATCGATAACGACACTGAGTCGAACAGTGAGTCGATAGTGATGACTTGCAGCAGGAAGTCACCAAGAGGCTGGCGACGTGCACATTTACATTCTACCAGTCGCCGCGAGGCTCCCGGTTTTATTGGTCAGACTGTCCTCTCAGTCCGCTTATAACAAAAAGAAAGAAAAACAGGCTCGGCCAACAGTAGAACTCAAAAGCGGTGAATCGAAACATGAAACGGATGCAGTTCTGAAAAGGAATAAACACTGAGAGAGATTTTAAATACATTCGCGAGTCATTCAGTAAAATCTGTTGTCCTGGTGTGTGGATGTGATGCGCTTCCGTCTTTTTTCTTCCCTCACTTGGTTTAAAAACAGAGAGAGATGATGCCTTTCTATCACTTCCCTCCTACTTGCCCATTACTCCACCTGCCAAAACCATTAAATAGAATACGCAAGCTGGGAGAAGAGCTTCTTCTTCTTCTTTGCTTTCCTTTTTTTTTCTCTTCAGGAAGTAAAAATAAAATAGTCTTTGTGGGGGAGCCTAAAAATAAACAGCTGATTTAAAGCTTCCCTCATGATTTCTTTCAAAGCAAACAGCTGTTGTGTCACAAGATGGCCTTTCTTTTATCTTCTTTTTTCGTCCCTTTGGTATTGAGGTTTGGTCGTGGCTATCACACATCTCCCCTTTTTTGTCACTGGGGTGGGGGGAAGGGAGGGAGGGGGGCACAGAAAGCCTCGTACCCCCACCTTTTAACAGCATAGTTCCATCCAGCAATCAATCTGCAGACATTTACACATAAAAGGAGCAACCCCCCCCAAAAAAGTAATAAAATATCCAATTTTCACCCAGAACTATACAGTGGAAGGGTTACATCACCGCGGTGGACTATTTGCCTTCTTGCGGCGCGCGCTCGCAGGAAGTGATTAGTTTCCAGGCAACAGTAGTCTCACAGAATTTGTCTTTGGATTCGAGCCTCTTCACATGTTTTTTTTTTGTTTTGTTTTTAATGATGTAATCGCTTCGTGGTATAACTCTGGGTTCATGTTTCAAATAACAACCAAAATCCATTTATTACACATTTTCCATTGTCACAAGCAGCACACTCCTTTACACTAGCAGCCACACTGAGTGGTACATGGTACAACTTTTTGGCAACACTCCCCTACGTTGGTCCTGCTCTGTTCTGCACGTCGGTCCATTTAGGGAAGAGTTTACCATTTGTTTGTTTGTTTGTTTGTTTTAAAGCTCTGCTCCTGGTCTGGAGAAGGGCTGCAGTTTGTCACGAAAAAGTCCCGACCCACGACGAGACACAACACACCGTCGGAGAGAGAAAAGAGACAGAACAAGAGAGAGAAAGAGAGAGAGAAAGCAAGAGCCACCATCCATCTCCTCCTCCTCCTTCCTTTCCTTCCTTCCTTCCTTCCTCCTCCTTCCTCCTCTATGCCTCCCACTCACTCCTCACACACCGACTCGCTCAGGTCCACGGCGCCACCCCTGGTGAGCCGCCGCATCTTGCTGAAGTCGTGGTCGGTCCTCAGGTAGGAGAGCGAGGGGCCTCCCTCGCTGTGGCTGGCCAGGTCCTGGGGCTGGGCCTGGGGCGGCAGGGCCCTCATCTCGCCGCCGCTGCGCCAGTACAGGGTGTATTGCTGCGGGTCGGACACTCCGAAGGTGGCGGCACACAGCTGCGCCAGGGCCTGGCTCGTCTCCCCGGCTCTCCACTGCAACGTCCGCACGGCGCTCCGCTCCCCGTCCTGGAACAGTATCCGAACGCACCTCTGGAGGCAGCGAGGGAGGGAGGAAGAGAGAAAGAGAGGGAGAGAGAGAAAAGGAGTGAATATATATACTGTATTTATGCAAAACACAGGTCAAGAGGCTTATGGAGTGAGGGCAAACGAGGGGGAGGAGAGAGATGGAGTCAGAGGAGGAGTGAGGACTGTATAAGCACGGGCTGATACGCTGCCACAATAAATGAGCCAAAAAAACCCAAAAATCAGAAAAAGGACGTTCATGAAAGAAAAATGCCTCTTAAACAAAGCTCCTGCTTCCCACACACAGCCGGCAGGTCCGAGAGCTTCACGCGAAAGCCATCTTCATGAAACTGCTCTGTTTTCCCCTGCTCTGCTTCATGTTACAGCTTCACTGACAAACTCCCGGCATAAATCCACTCGAGCGAGTCCACTTCCAAACTCAAATATCATCCATTAAACTCGCTCTGCTCTGGTGCTCTGCTGAAGTCCCCCCCCCCTCTCCTCCACCACCGCCACCACTCAGCAGACACAAACTTTTTTCACATTTTCCACAGAGCAAAAAGCGAGCAAACCCAAAACTAACAGGTCTATCGCAACAATCGCTGCTCTTCAGGCACTTGAGCCATTACATAATGTCAGATTCGACCACCTACAGACGCCCTCACAACTCTCTGTAAAGCACACACACACACACACTGTGAAAACATGCTGGACATAATCCTTTTTACCAAACATCCAACCTTGAGAAACCAGGGAGAATCCTCTTCCCTGTCGCTCACGGAAACACACAAACAGACAAACCATCCAGCCTGCCTCCCTCAACACACACACACACCACAGACGAATAAGTGGCTTTTAAAAGAAGCAGAAAAAAAGAAAGAAAAAGCAGTCAGTAGCAAATATAATCAACAGGTCAGCCATTATCAGAACTTACAGAGTCACTGAGCTCCTCGCTGTCCGTGTGCATATTGTGTTTGCCTGCTTCGATGGGTAGATGCAGCTCAATAAATTTCATGTTATCTGACCGCCCACTTCTTCATAGCACTTGGCTCACTGATCCCCGCCTGTGTCAGTGGAAAATCTGGCTGCCGGGTGAGTTAGATCGGCTATTTGAAGCCAGGAGAGGAACCACGTGACGAGACAGAAACGTTGTGGATGACAATGCCTGTTTTCCATGGCATCTGGTGGACCGTTACACAAACGTGGGGCCAGCAGGATGATAATAGGAGAGTGTAGGTAAAAAGTCAGCGTGCGTGTGTGTTAGTGTGTGTGTGAGCGCGCATTAGTGCACGACCGGTCGTAAGCCAGCGGCCCCAGATCAGAGGATTACCTCTAAAAATGTCTAAAAACTAATCCCCCCAAATGAATTTGAAACGTGTTTGCACTCAGAAAACCAAAACAGGGAAATCCAGGTGTGCTCTTTCACCTCTGATTTAAAAACCGGCTTTCCAAAAACTCCAGCTCTGTCCCCGACTTCATCAAGAAGCTTCAGCGGTGATGC